ACGGAACCGCAGCATGAATGAATGCTCGGTCCCCCTTACTCCGCAAGAAAACGTTTGATTTGCTGAAGATGTACGCTACCGCCGTCGGGTCCATCACAATGAGGGATGTCGTCTGTCATATCGATACTCAGTCTACCAGTGATGAACCAAACCAAGAATGTAGCACCCTCGGGTCTCCCCTGTCCGGCCAGCAACGGAACTGTTGACGCAGGAAAAGGTAGAGGGCGAGGAGAAAGAGGAAAAGTAGTGAAGCGGATAGGAAGGAGATCATGGAGACCAGGGCCTTGAGTTCAGAAACTGGGTAGGTTCAGAGCAGACAAGAGATAACACCCACGAGCGAGCAGAGAAGATGACAGACAGTCTTCCACGGTCTGCCCCGAGGGTTGATGTAGGGTTGGAATATGCAGCGCTTCGATGCAATGGATGCGGGTGAGTGTTCAGGAGACGTGACATTGTCAATCCGAACAATCGGTAACAGCCCACAAACCTGGACGTCTGAACAGAAGGAGACGATGTTGTCATTCTGATGCTGGGCCATTTGGAGGACAGGTTTGTGTCTGGCCGTCACGTTGCAGTCAGGTCATCAGGTGCTATTTTGACTGGCCATCAAGCCGTCGCGCGTTAGAAAAGCGCCCGGAGAGGCAGTGTACCCGAGTTTGATATTTGGCACTAGGGGCACCTTCTTCGGAGCCGGATGTCGGCCAGCGCAGAAGATGCCGCGTGCTATCGATTCGAGGCCTCCATGGGAAGGCTCTGCGCTCACAGAATCACCAGTCTTGGGAGCCTCTGGAGGAGACTGATTGAAAATGTAAAATCCAGTGCTGCCCATTATTAGCTCACAAAATTGTGTACACTCTTGTGTCCAGGGCCGACTTCCCTCTACCTGAGAGGCTCTCCCAAAGTCACATGTACAGTATAGGACAGTCTAGACGAGGGCGATATCGGCCGGAGTAGAGTTGGTTACGGGGTGTTGACGGAGCAGATTGCGGGTGAGGGCTGAGAGTCGCGATGGCTGTATGGGTCGCGCAAGTCGCTCGGTTTCCTATGGATGATCGAGGTGCTGCGATGCGCACCTCGGCAGGGTCATCCGAATTCTTTGCTATATCAGCCCCTTTGATCTTCGCCAGAAGCAAGATGGCAGATAATCACTCCGTCTCTATGTCAAGGGTGTACAAGTGCAACTTGACTCCAGCCTATCGAGATGAAAGGAATTTGAGCTCGGAGTTGCTGATGGTTTAGGGCAGAATCCGATCGCAAGTAGCACAGGAGTGACACTTTTATTTGGGCTGGCAACACCATGATGGTTCTCTTGTCCTTGCGTCTTCATTCGTCAAACTAATAGCGGGTGTTTCTTCGTGGGCAACTACAGGACTTGCCGTCGGACAGTCGGACACGTATCAGGGCTCCTGCTCCGCCTCGGCGACGATGCGCTGCAACCATTCGGTCCGCGGGAAGCAGGCGTTGAGACCATGTAGAAAGAGGTAGTGGATCTTCAGTAAAGCCGGAGCTTTCTCCCAGAACGACATATCAAATCGATTGTCCGAACGATAGAGAGCCTCGCGGAATGTGGCACGGTAGAGACTATCACCTGAACAGGACTCCGGAGACCGCCTACTCTCTTGCGAGCAGGTTTGGCCATCTGGAGGCACCCAAGCGAAGCCACCTGTCTCCTGGCGCCATCGTCGAGGAAGGTCATCGACATCGTTGACGATGTCCTCTGGATATCGCGCCATCATGAAGAGCGGAAGAATGGATACGCCTTCCCAGTCAATGTAGCCGGAAAGTCTCTTGCAGGCTGTAGTCATCTCGTCAGCAGCCGCAACGCCCAGACCGTGACCCTACTCACCGGGATCGTAGATAATGTTTCTAAACGCATAATCCGAAATCGAGAAACATGGCAAACATAGCCAAGGGGGCACCCTCGTTGCCGAAATGAGGCGCTCAACCAACTTGTTGGCAGCCTGGATATCGTTCCAGGCGACATCTACATTCACGGGGCTGTCTATGTCATCTTTCGGAAGCACCACTGATGTTTCCGGGACCGCGCCCCAACAGATCAAATGGCTTCGGCGCTCTTCCACTAAAAGGTCTCGCCAGAGATCACTAGGAGAGAGCGCGGCGGTGGGAGGAGGCGAGACAAGCCGACGTGACTTGGTTACTCGGAAGTGCCGGCCCTCAGACAGAAACGGCCCCAATCGAAAGTCGGTATCGTTCAATGGACGCTCTTCTCCTACCACACTCGTGAAGCGTAACGCGCCGAAGCCCCGAAAAGGAAGAACGGCTTCTGCGAGCGCCGCGTGATGTTTTGCGACCTCTTGGAGGATGGTCGTCTTTTCCGTGGGATCTGAACAATTGTGCCACACATCTTCTAAAGTCTCCCCTTCCACGTAGTCCAGCAGGACATACGGAGCTCCCACAGCGTTCTCAGCACTGCCGTTCCTGGCCCATACCACGGGCGTGGGTATGTCCGAGCAGAAAAGGCGGACGTACGTTAGCGTCGCTACCTCAGATTCGAGGCGCTCGCGGTAACATCGTTTCTGAAGCTCGGAGAGACTGTTCATCGGGGTGATATGTATGCGACCGACTATCTTCCTTCCGCTCCCAAATTGCATTAGGTACAGCTTGCTGGACACTCCAGCAATCGACAATAATGTCAATTCCACCAGATTCCATTCGTCCACAGCCATGCACGCCGCGAATGCCAGAGCAGGAAGTTCGATGCCGAGCCTGACCTTGTGTGCGAACGAAGGATCAAAAAAGCCCTTATAGTCGACTTCCTCTTCGAATAGAGTGAGGTCTGGAGAGCGGAATGCGAAGTCAAAGCGCTGTCACCTGTCAAGACGGAACTACTCACGCCTGAAGTCGCGCCAATTTGGAGGAATCTCTTGGGGACGTTTGAGGGCCGTTGTTGGCCCATGCATCTTGGCTGACGACGCAAGAGCGACCGAGCTGCTGTACGTCCTCACTGGGTATAAGCAGTAATCCCGAAAGTAGAGAGTCCCCCACCGACCGAACCTGCGCATTTTGAGCAGAACGATGCACGGCGGCAAGAAGCTGGCAAACCCCAGAGGCACATCAGGGTGTTGTACGCGTAATCTTTACGGCTCTTTTCGGGTGAAGCATTCTCTCTTACTCCTGCCATCATATTGCAATTTTATCAACGACTTAGTCTCGTCTGTAAGGAATGGATGCGTTCATTCCAGGTGATCTACGACGTCAAACCTCTGCAACAGCACCCACACACGAGATCAATCCATACCCTAATACTCGATTCTGGGACGCCGACGTGATCGGCGCCGAGGACCTAGAGAACTATCGCGTTGGAGGCTATTTCCCAATTGCCCTCCAGTCAACGCTATGCATCGGCCGCTACAAAGTTCTCCACAAGCTCAGCGGCGGCTCATCCACACGCGTGACCTCCAAGATGGGGTATTGTTGCTATCAAAGTCCTCGGGGTAGACCGGCGAGAGACCGTGAACAACGAGCTCTTCATGGTCGAGCGACTGGGATCCTTTCCAACCGATACGGGCGCACTGCTGCATTCACATCTCCCGTTATCCACCTTTCTGGAAACGAGCCCGAATGGGGAGCATACTTGTCTCGTCCAGCCCCCGATGGGTCCCAGGCTCAAACCAAATGTTACGTCGTCGTGGATGGAGGGAAGGGTCATTTCGAGTGAGAGCCCAACGAGTACCCGTTCTGGCCCGGCAAGCGGCTCAGGTTCTCCGCCTGCTTCACTGGATGAGAATCGCGCTTCATGGTGTGTGAACGCAATGGCTACAGGAACGTCGACATCAGTCTGATACACTCCCAGACATCACGCTCTCCAAGTGGGCATTCCCTCTCCCCGAATCCGTGCGAACATGGACCGATGAGGAGGTGTACCGTGTCCTTGGATCCCCGGACGTGGCGCCAGTGAGCACGGTGGATGGATCCGAACCGGGCCCACATGCACCAGCCGAGGTGGTAGCACCCGCAGACATGTCAGGTCTCGCAAAGGCATTGAAAGAGTCAATCGTGTGCATTGATGTCGGAGATGCAGTGCAGCTTGACGAAGGCCCTCTTCAGAGGCATCCCACCGTCCCGATTCACTATCCGGCCCCGAGGCGATGCTTGAAAGCCAGCTGAGCCTGGCCTTGACATATGGTCTTTCGCTTTCTTGATCTTCAATATTCTCAGTGGCTACCCCCTTATCGAACCTTTCTGGGCCAATGAGCAAGGTGTTCTGCGGCAGATGGAGATACTCCTCGCCAAGCCTCCCGGTTCCTTTCGATCACGATTGATCGACCACGATGCAGTACCGTATCCAGGTAGAGATCTTGTCGGCGGAAGCAGCCAGGAATACTCAAAATTGGGCTAAGCTGGAGAGACATCTGCGGGGTGTTGGCACTCGAGACGAGTCTAGGGCTTCTATGTATGTGGATGCGGGTAGATTACCGATATTGGCCCGCTTGGATACTCGACTTACCGAGGAAGACGTGCAGACTTGGAAAACGCTGCTGTCAAAGATGCTGGCCTATATGCCAGATGAACGGCCCGATATCGACATGGTCTGTGCGTGGCTTGAGAAGCCTGGCGAAATAACCATGTCTGATTAATCGAACTATTAAAAGCAGCGAGCCTATGGACGTGAGCAACAAGAGCATTGTGTGGTGTGTGTAAGGAATGGAACCATGTCTACTCCTGCAAATGTTTTGCAATTACTGATTTGCTTTGTTATTGATCAGCTGACATTTGCCGAAAGGGTTCAGGGTCCATTGAACGTCCCGCGTCAAAGCTCCCCCGAATCCTTCACCCCGCGCTCCGTTCGCTGCATAACGTTAACGTCTAACAACGTTTTGCCGACGTCTTGTCCCGTGAACTGGCTTGAGATGGGCCGCCACTGGATATAAAGTCCTCTTGCTTCTCCAATTTCATGGAGATCATAACGGACGGGATCGACATCAACAACGGTTCTCTTGATCCACTCCCCATCGTTGCAGAGATGCCCGAAGTCGACCCACGCACAGGGACGGACAAGCTCAAGGTAATCATTGTTGGCGCTGGGTTGGGAGGATGCGCATGTGCTATGGCGATGCACTACGCTGGGTTCGAGGTCGTCGTTTATGAGAAGATCAAGAAGCGCGTCTCCTCGTTCTTATCACTCCGCTCAGTCCCTAATGATAGGGTAGGTTCCTCCGACTGGGCGACTCTCTCGGTCTGGGCGAGAACGCACTCCGACTGCTCGACCGCTGGGGCTGCCTAGACAAGATCGTCTCCATCGGTAACAAGTCCCCTGTATTCCACATGCGGCGCTACGACACAGGGGAGATCCTGGCTACCCAGCGTTTGCTCGACATGGCGGGATACATCGGCCACAGGGGAGACTATCACCAGGCGTTCATCGACCGCGTGATGGAGCTTGGCATCCCTATCCACATGGGCACAAACGTCGCTCGGTACAACGAGGATGATCCAAGCGTAACACTCGACAGTGGCGAGAGGGTGCAGGCGGATATTGTCATCGGCGCCGACGGGATTAAGAGCATGTGCAGGGAACTAGTGTTAGGGTTTACGGACAAGCCGAAGAGCTCGGGGTATGCGTGCTATCGTGCGTACATGCCGGGCAGCAAGCTGAAGAACGATCCTTATGCGAAGCGCTTGGTGGAGAAGGACTGTATGAACGTTTGGTACATTCCCCTTGTCCTTCCCCCTTCCTATTCACTGATCTATCTTCTAAACAGGATCGGCCCCGACCTTCATATCGTCCAAAATACCTGCAAAGACGGCGAAGAGTTCAACTGGATCATAACACACAAAGACGAGGCGGACATCCTCGAGTCCTGGTCCCAGCCTGGAGATCCAAAAGAAGCCGTCAAGCTCGTCGCGGACTGGGACCCCACAATCGTGAATGCCATGAAGCTGACAGACACGTGTTTGGACTGGAAGATCGTGTATCGGGAGCCGTTGCCAACTTGGGTTAGCAAGAGTGGGAAAGTCTGTCTCTTGGGGGATGCTGCCCAGTACGTCTTCCTGTCCCTTCTTCATCGGTCTTTCGGCACTGATCGTAACCACAGTCCACATCTTCCCACCTCAGCACAAGGCGCCTCCCAAGCAGTTGAAGACTCCGCCTGCCTTGCCGTCTGCCTCCAACTCGCAGGCACGGGGAACGTCCGTCTTGCCACGCTAACCTACGAGCGTCTACGCTATGCTCGCGTGCTCAAGACCCAGAAAACAGGCGAGGATCTCAGAATCAGGTGGCACAATGCGCTTAAAAAGGTTCAGGCGGGGGAAAAGATCGACCCCCAGAGTATTGAGATGCGTAACGCGTGGATATATCCTGTGAGCAGATTTGGTGCCGAGCTGGGATATCGCAACGCTGAGTAGATGGATCCAGCATGACGCGGAGAAAGACGCACGAGACCGCTGGCCTGCCGTCTCCACCCAGATCCAGAGAGAGCTCGAGGTAGGGAATGTTATACATCCCACCGATCTATTAGGTCCAGACAGGTACGACATCCCCCAGATCAGTGACGAGGAAAAGGCCGAGATCGACAAGATTGTGGTAGAGATGGTGAGGAATTACCCGCCGAGGTGAGCTTGTTTATTGGTGCAGAGGTGAAGTGTCGCTCAGGGTTGTTGCTAGTTATACTGGGTTGGAAAGAGGTGTGACTGTGCCAATCGTCAGTCCCGTTGCATAGTGGGAGTTGCTCAAATCCAGGTCAAGCAGTTATCTTTTGGGCATACATTGTTCAGCGCAAAGGGTTATAATCGCATTCGCATCCAGGGGACTCTATGATTTGTCTGTCCCTCTCGAGCCAGAGAGAAGGTAGAGAGTTGTCCAGCTATATTAAGCTTTGCTATCTCTCGAACTTCTCCTCGTAAGAGGGCTTCTAGACCCCCAATCGGGTACTTGGGGAAGAAAGGGCAAACATCATCAATATCCAGACGGAAATCCAAAGGGAAAATGCTGATGAATATCACATCGTGCGTCCCAGTCCCGAGGGGCAGGAATGGGCTTGGGCATTGGCGCATGGACACCATCCAGGTCTGAAGGAAAGGGCAGGAACATTAGGAACTGAGTGCTCCCGGCGAGAGCAATCACGACACACCAGAAAGCGAGTAATATCATCCAGATGTTCGAGATCTGAATTATTACGAGAAATTCATGGCTTTCCTGTGTTCCGTCTAACCTCGGAAGTGTTAACTTGAACAAGTTTTCCCGTGGGAGAGGGACTTTTTGCATCGCTCCTGGCGGTTGAAGGTGTCGGGCCTAACTTCGATAGGTTCAATTGGTTCCTTCAGCTGGGTGTCCTTTGCAAGGACGAAGCCGATCGAGGGATATTTTTGCGCAATCACCATCAAGCGAGAAGAATTGGTTGCAGTCAGAAATTCACAGTGGAGAAGCCGATGCTTTGGATCTGTATTGTAGTTAGTCTGTCGTAGGCATACTCAATATATTCGTTGCCGGAACATCCGTTTTACCGGCTCGCATGCGGTATCCGGATACCGCTGGACCGATATCGAGGGACTGTCTTACTTGATTAGTTTCAGTTACTTTCCATTGTTCCTTCTATTTTACCACCTCCACATTCCTTGACCTTCTATATTAGATAGCTTGTATACCCCTGTAATGGGAGGCCGGACTCTTCCCCTTTGACCACTCTGTATCCCATCTCTAGCTAGCCCCACTCCTTGATATCACATCTTACTCAAATGCATCATTGTGCATATACTGCCATACTGGTATACTGCCATCCATTATCTGGAAGCACACTCACCTGTAGGAGGTTCACAAGAGAGCTCAATTAGACTATCTATTGTATCTATGGTACAGTAGGAGTCACATCAAGTGGAGCCCAATGCAAGGCTCTCCTCTGTGATTTATTCCCAGGGTGTGTCATCTGTTATCCAATACTGCACTACCATCTTTGGACTCATTACTTGTTGTCAAAACATTGTACCCAGCATTTATTATTGCATTCCTTGTCATTACCGCCACATTGTCTAACCACTGTCCACTGTTGTCACCCATTGCTCTACTGTCATATATCATATACTTCATTGTACCCTCTGTCACCATATTCAGCATTATTACCGTGGTCTCTGTCATTACTGCCATATCATTGTTGAACACTTGAGCTCAGATACTGCTGTTATCTCTCAGTGAACCTGTAGAGATACCAAGTTGCCCAACATAGTTCAAACACGGTGTTCCCAACTTTTGCAACAACTTGAGGAGTCTATCCAAGCTGAAAATGAACCAGAATAACAACTACCAAGTGATTCAGTATTTTGAGTCACCATTAATATGCTGTCAGAAACCACATCCTCACAAAACATGTCAGAATTACTTGATCCTGATATTATTGTACCACCATCTACCAACCTTTCAGACCAAGAGCCTGTTAGGGCAACACAGGCTGACTAAGTCTGCTCACCTAAGAGTGCCAAGAGTCTA